GAAGGTTTTTTTTACTGTAAAAAAAAGAAAAAAAAAGATTGAATTTGCTTCATCTGCCACAAATTCCACAAACATTTAACAAGCCTTTATGGTTTTGTGTTCATGTCTAAATCTCCTGCAACAGTCCCTATAGTATATCAGTCCTTGTCAGATTTGTTTGTCTGTTGTACTGATCCCTTGGTTTTGACTCTTCTGCAAACTTTTTTATAATTGTTACTCATGTACATACTCCTTGTTGTCGTCCGTTGGGTTAGACCTCTCCGTAAATTAATGATTTACATTTTTCTTCAATCCAGCAAAAATGTGCTTCATAGCATAGTGGTGCTTAACTAGTAGACCTTTCATACAGATTATAGTCTAACTTTATTTTTTTTTTTAAACTACTTTTAATCACAGGCTGCTTCGATAACTTCCACAAGATCAGCAACGCTGCCATTTGAAAATGAGAATATACTGTAACAGCAAATAAACTTTGAAAGAAAAGACAGAGAGAGAGAGACCTTTAAAATCCTGAAAGGTACAAGATGGTATGTCATGTTATTGCCACTGAAATCCATCTATTATAACCAAACCATCATCAGGCAGTGCATTCATGTTGTAGGTTTTTAGGGCTGTTAACTTCATCAAATTGGAAAATGTGGGTGATTGAACTATTTCATGTTCATGGGTGGGCACTAACCAGACTTTAGTCAACATATATGCAGAACTAAACCTGAGGATGTGTCTCTGCTCTCAAACCCCTGTGCGCTTTCTTTTAACATGTCTATGTAAAAATAAAACTCATAAAACATATAGATTGTGTGTGACGTATGTCTTGCGGGAGTTCCTGCAGAGTTTTTTTCCCCCTCCTCACACTGGCTGTAGAAGTTAATTGAGGGGGAAACAGAGAGAGAGAGAGGTGGGTTAATTAGGCAGAGTAGATTCTGATGTTCTGGTTTAAATAAAAATCTAATGACATCCACCATCATCCATCAGTGTCGAGCATCTCTCTATGCACCCATCAGGCAATCATAGTGTACTGGAATGGCAGTCAAAAGGTTAGTGATACAGACGTCTGCAGGGGCTCATTCCTCTTTGTTAAATAAGGAGAACAGCATGTGACCTTGTGTTATTACTTTACAACTGCAGTTGTATAGTCTGTGATAAAAACGGACCCATTGTCTTTTGATTTGTCCTATTTTATCTGCACTCCGCTGATCCCCTTGGAGGCAGGAGAGCTGCTGCACCGTCAAGCTGAATGTGTGAGGCTTGCTGGAACAGAGCACAGAAATATAATCTAATCTTAAACTAAATTAAAAAGCAGATCATGGGTGAAATTACTCAGTATACTGCTCACATCGTTTGCCTCCTCTTAAGGTGTTATAAAAATATTTGCTTTAGTCTTTTACTCATAGACCTCTTGCGTCCTGTGGTCTTCAGGCTTTATTGTTTTGCACATATCGATATCTCATTCACTCAGGAGAGGCAGGTAAAAACAACAGCAGCTCATGAAATTCTGAGAACATTCAAGCATTGTGAAGTTGGAGAATGTGTGCTATTCTCTAGTGAGAAGGTCAGAAGTACAGTTCAATGCTAAATGCTCTGTAGATATTTTTTAAATACATTATAATACACTGATTTTGTGTGTATTGTACAACAAAAATAGGAAAGTTGCAGGTTTAGAAAAAACAACTTCTCAAGAGAAGTCTGCTGTATACATGGTGATTCAAAACTTATACAAAACATCATTAGATAGACTGCAGCAACATTGTGTTCATTTGATTCACCTGCGTCATTGAAAAACTCTGAAAACCCTTCAGATATTTCAACAGCTTTCACCAGAACACTTTTTTTTTAGAAATGATTTATCTCCTCCGTCTGTGAGACTGAATGATTCTGAGGAGTTTGATTGATTTCACCACGCAGTCATAGAGCTCCTGATATGTGTGTTAATAACTGTTCTCCTTGGTCAGCAGTGAGAGAAGTTTCAAACGACACTCTTCTCTGCACAGCTGACAACATTGCAATAGTTGCATCATCTGAATGCCTCAGCGATGAACTCTGTGTGGCTGTCCTACCTTGTAAACCTGTTTGTTCAAAGCAAAGTCCAGACATACAGACTCTGGTTCACGATGCATTCATGGCAGTGATGCCACGTGTAAACATTTGATCATTACATTCATCTGCCTGGCAGGCTTCATACTGGCAGGGGGCAATCAGCTGGTGTGGTTATAACAAACGATCTACATACTTACTGGTCCTATACAGTAGTCTTAACTTAAGAGAACCTTAGAATACACAATGTGATATGCACAGGACCTTTCGAGCAGCAGTCCCACTAAGTGATTGACGCTTTCAAAATTCACAGAAAAAGAGAAAATTCCCTCCTACGTCCTTAAACTATGATATTCCTCTGTGAACCTGCCTGAAAATGCAGAAGTACAATCCTTGTTAAAAGAACTCCATCATCATTTTATGAAAATATGAACTTCTAAAATGTGATCCCTTTTTGCAAAACAGTGAGCTCTGAACTTTGGATGGTTATGGTAAATCTGACAGAAACTATCAGCTCATCACTGCATCATAACCAATAAGTCTTTTGACTACAAAATGCTCATCCCCTTTATTTAGGCATGCATGGATTAACAAAATAGGCTACTTGATTATTTAATCTGGAGAATGCTTCAAATTCAAAATAGTAACTTAAACTTAGATGTGAATCAAATAAAAACATGTTGCATACCTGACTGACTGCATGTGTTCAGAAGTCAACACCTGCAAAGTGACACGTTTACAATGTCCTGACCAATATATACTATTCACTGCTTCCTCTCAATTTCAGGTGAAATAGACACATACATTATTCAATGGTCCATGTTGTTTTAAACCAATCACATGTTGTTCTTTATCATCAGAACTGTCAACATGTTGTATGATAATAAAATACACCCAGTGTTTCAAGCCTCCCTCTCAGTGTAATGCAGAAGTGTTAGCTGACTGGACTTAACAGAGTTACTGAGCAACATGTGTATCATGAAAATAAACTTAATGAGACACCCCAATTAATAAACTGCTGTAAAGACAAAGTGGTATCAATCAGACCTCGTCTATTTAATCAGTCATTAATTACAAATTGCACCCTGAAAAACATTGTACTTTTGTGATAAACAAATTATAAAAAACATGCTGCTGTTGCCAATACAAAGTTTAAAAAATTGGTTACAATGTATAAAAGAATATATTATCAGTTAATAGATATGGTTTATGATATGTGGAGTGAGAGAAATGCTTTAGAGAAAAGTCACACATGACTGCACAAGTTAAAAAATAGCCATGTTATGATATAGCAAAAAAAATTGGACAGAATTTGTAAATTTGCTGAGGATATTTTCAGGTGTTACGACAGTAACATCTTACTCTTAAAATAAAATGAGTACTGAGTACCTTTTTGTAAGATTTGTTAAATAATTCAAGACAGCCTTAAACCAATTTACCTTTAAGTGCCCTGATGGTATTTTTATTGCAGACATGCTTGAACCTTGAGAGCCATCATTTACCTGAACACAGAATCAGCTGGGCCTTTTTCGACAATGATTTTATAATATCATGTTTGAGCTGCAGTGGTGCATGAAAGGTTTGGTTGGATCCTCAAGCCACTTTTTGAACTGACTCTCTTGTTGCTTATTAGGCTCAGAATTGTCACAGCATGTGCGTGGCCTTCTGCTGGGAAGTACGGTTGCATTGCTGGGAAGATCCTCTCACAATGAGGACGTACTGTATTCGGCAGACTCGGACATTTTCCTGCTGAACCGTCCTTCCTGTCAGCAGCTGCTCCCATGTGAGGAAGTGACAGTGACTGATACCGAGCTGTGACATTATTTATTAGTCATTGTTTATAGTACAAGACGTGAGCTCTAAATCCTTGTCACATAGTTCCTCTGCCAAGTTTTCCAGGCTGTTCTGAAAGCACAACACCCTGAAGAAAGATGAGTGGAGCATATTACTGATATCTCTGACCTTAAAAAATCCTGCCCTGTGGACTGAAAACACTCACTAAGCTGCAGTCAACTAGACGAGAAGTACTTCTTAATTATCAGCCTGGAGCAGTTTATTCCGTTTAAAGGAAAGAGACCGTGTAAAAAACCTGTTCAGAGACAGTTGTTTGAATAGTGAAGGAGTCGGTGGTGAAATAAAGCAGTAGAGTGAATGCCAGTGACAGAGGCAGACACTGGGCTGTTTTGATTGACACTGCAGTACTGTCCTATTCCTTTTGATGGGATTAAATTGTCATGACCTCTCAGATATGGAAATTGAGTCACTGATCTGAGGTTTCACAAATGTCAACATTATTAAATTGTGAGACCAGTTAAAGGCACAGCTCACTTATTTCCCCAGGCTTTATCTCAGACTACTTTGCAGAAATTAAAAAATGTCTTGTAAGTCCCCTATCAGTTTTTCTAAAACCCAACTCAAAAAAGATCCACCAAAATGAAACGAGGCATTTGCTGGTTTCATATTTAACTCTGGTTCATTTTTTTTTCTCTTGGCCTGTAGGCTATAGATAATGATAGTGGGGAAAAAAATGTCATAGAAATAAATGAAATAATTCCAACTCATAATTTCCCGCAGTCTTCAGGACGGTACATTGCACCCAATGATTCGGCGAAATGGACACACTTCCTGCAGATCATCAAACAGGCTGCTGATTCTCTGGACTTTGTTTCGTCTGAAGCTCCCGTTCACAATCACAGTCTTATCCCGCAGTGCTCTATTATGGCGGCTTTAATAAAAAGCTAATAACTGCGGGTCCTGGCTCTCTTATACCGCGGATCAGTGGCAGAGGGGGGAACTGGGGTGTGAAATAGACTCCAGTTGGCTGATGGACACATGAAAAGACTCGGATGGTTGGTTGTCACTCACACTGCTAGACCCGACTTTGCTCCATTTGAAGTTAAAATATGAATCTAAATAGCCTGGAAAATGCATTTTTTATTCTACCTATAGATCCCAGTATGAGCACTGCCTGTGATCGCAGAGAGCCATCTGAAGCGCAGATACTCTCCTCTGTGGCTGCTCCGCCGGGCGGTAGGAGGGGTTGTAGTGACGCTGTCATCCAATGGGCACCGGCTTCCTCTGGACTGAGCGCAGCATCTCTGTCTCAGCGGCACTTGTGCGCCAGACAAGTAAGGACGGTCTCTTACTCAGCACCCGAGGAGAAGAAGCAGAGCTCCGGGAATTACTGAGCTGTTTTGGCGAAGAAGACTCCTTTCTTCACCTTCTCTTCTGACACGCGCTTTGGCAAAGATGAACGTTGGCTGCGTCATCCTGGCGTGCACCTTACTCCTGGGCGCATCCTTGGTAAGATGAGTTAATTTCTGTGTGTCTTTTCGGCTAACTGTAGTCTGAAAGTGCTGCACTGCCGTATAGTGCTTATAAGGTTGGGAATCGCGCTGCCTGAGCCTCTGAAAGTGGCTGATGGAGTCTCACTTCCCCCCCTGCAGCGCTGCGCTAAAGGCAACATGATTTGTGTTATCGAGTTAATACGGCGACGTTTAAGGTCAATAATATTTGTTTGCCATTGCTGTCGAAAGTCTCTAACAACTCTATCAGTTCGCCTCTTCAGCCCCTCGCCTAACTGCGGTGCATTATTGCAGAGGACAGCGGTTTGTGGACGGGCTTTTCCTTCTGTTTCCTGCGATCAACTTCGTTTACGCACTGCCATTTCCCATTGAACGGTTTCCAGGATAAAAAAGCGGTTGAATAAGTAGCTGTTTTGTTATTTAATCAGGCTTTTCCAGAAGAGTGATTTAAGAAATTCTGAATAGATTATTTTGCATTATTTTCAAACTTTGTAAAATTCTACTGTAAATGCAGCCTATATCGCAGTTCTTTTGTTGAATTTTGATGATGTGCAGACGTGGAAATCACCTTTAGTATTTTTTTTTTAATGAAACTATAATCTGAGCTGATGAATAAGGAACATCTTTGCAGGTGCATTCTGTGTATGTGCAGTTGAAGTGTAGTGCTCCTGTAACTATACTGTATTTGAATTCCTTGTTTCTCACACATGCACACACTCCATGAGCTCTCTCAGTCCAGTCAGCAGCATTCATGTCTGCCATAGTCATCATATTTATTGTGGTTTTGTCACTACATATGCCATGGTTTTTATTTCCTTCACATCAAATGAGGACACAATAATAAGTGACAGTGTGGTAACTGTTTTAATCGCTGCAGTCTGTAAGGTACTTCATTGGCTATTTGTTCAGCGCTTCATTATGAGACTTGGTGTCTCTCTTCAGAGAATAAACTCAGGGGTATAAAGCCCCAGATGTGGATATCTAGGCTGTGACTGTATGCAGCATGTTATTATCTCTGCAGTCAATCACTCAGTGTAGCCAGAGAGACCAAGGTTCGATATGAGTCTTTCTGAGATCAACTTATGACCCCCATGCCCCGTGTCAATTTGCCAATGCTTAACAGACTGTTTTGTTTTATTCCTCAGGGGAGTAAGGCAGGCCAGCCCCTCAAAGCCCCGTGCAGACCCGGCTTCTCCCAGAACTTCTACACAGTGATTGTCCAGAGAGACGTATTGCATGGTCAGAGCATTCTCAAAGGTAAGTCTATCACTGCTGGTTCTCATTTACACACTGATGATATTTTCTCCTCTCTGCTCCAAATTGTCTCAAGTGAGAAATAAGAGTGTGTGGGTGTATACGTATGAATGTGTGTGATAAGGGGCATATACTGTCGTTAGTGGCTCTCCATTATTTCCACAGCAGGTCAGAAGATACTCAGATTGTGTTGGGGCAATATAAGCAGCTCATCTGGAGCACAGACATGCTGATATTCAAGCTTAAAGATCCAGTGATGCTGTAGCTGGGTTGGAAATGAATCTGAGAAGTGATAAAAAGAGACATGACAGCAGGTGTGAATTGCGTCTTGTACAGAAGTTGTCATTTAATACAGTTTCACTGATCAATGAACACTGTTACTGTTTATTACACTGTTTTCAGTCAAAATAACAGTACATATCTTCCTTTTTGATTGACTAAGCAGAAGGCAGACTCCTTTAAATGGCCTGTTGCTTCTCCGCATGTTTGCAGCTGCAAGCCCAAAACTTTCAATTTATTTTTAGTGTTCATTGTAATACATTTTCCAGACCTCTTATTCTTTCCCTTTTTCAGAGGAATTCAATTCTTTTTTTCATCGCTCCATTTATTGTCAGCGTACAAAATGTACTCAATCTACTGAGGTTCATCTCCTGCTATTTGAAATTATGCTGTGGTTTCTTCTGTGGGTTTCTGGCTTTGGCAGGTGGACTCACTCTGTGGCTATAATGGAATACAATCAGCTGATTTAACGTTTTGAGTTCCCAATGCTTCCGCAATACACTGGAGTTGTCATTAACGATTTAACTACAAATGCAACATGAAGAAATTATCTTCATGTTGCATGAGTGCTTTGTAATACTACATATTTTCATTGACACTTCGGATTTCTGCTACAAAAGTTGATGGTGGTGGTTTGGTTGTAACAAACTTCCCTAAATTTCTGTCCTACTTCACACTTAAATGGAACATCTCTTTAACTGTGTGCAATAAGCTTAGCTTCCCCCTGGCACTTTGCTTTGTAGACAAATATTTGCCTGTTGTTATGTGAAATGCTATTTGCCGGGAGGAAATGGTATCCTTGTTTAAACGACTGTTTGAGCACTTTCTGGCTGCAAGCAAAACAATTGAATTATTCTGGAGGTTATTTTGTTATTTAGGAGGCCGACAAGGACAGTGCAGCTGGTCAGTGGGGTGCAGATGTGCCTGAGGGGGCTCAGGGGCTCAATGTTTCTGCCTGTTTGGAAAGAGGCTGAGGCATCATTACTGACTCTAACATTGCTAACAGAGGGAGATGATGTGTCTAGACAGATACAATATGTTGCTTCCTCCTCAGTATGTGTGTGTACTACATCCACTTGTATCTTGGGGGGATATTGAACAAACTGGGCAATGTCCCGGTGTACATATTATCGGCTGACATTCAATCCAAAATAAGGTGTCAGCAAAGCTTAACTGCATCAATTTGATATAGCTTATGTGCAACACCAGCTCCTGCTTTGATCCCCAATTACCTTTGCTTGCAGTATCACTCTTTCATTTGTTTGTCTTTGTGAAAATCAATCTAAGAGGAGCACTGTCCTCCCAACTGGCCACTCAAAGGGATATGTGCTGCAGCAGCTAAAGCCCTCGTGTGATGATAAATGTGCTGGGGCGAGCCTTACTCAGGCTCTGTTTTCTATCCACAAAGTGGGAGGAAGCCTTTTATACTAACACCACAATATGTATAACCTGAAACTGTCACTTTACAGAAAATGAATGTGCAGAGGATGAGATGAGGGAGGGTCTGGGACGAAACCAGAGCTGGCTATAGGGGGTTGCTGGACCGCTGTGGGCCGGGGCTGTTGTTTCCCCGGAGAGACGGACAGTGAGCGATGGGGGAAGAACTGAAAAGCTGTGGCCAAGCAGGTGCAGTGTAAAGCAGGCCTCGGTTTCCAGGCGCTGAACCATATGCACACGGCAGGTCTTTCCATGCTGAGGTAGAGGGAGGAGTTGATTTTCCACTTGTTTTATTGTGCTAACATGTTATAAGTATAGGGAGCGACTGAAGGACCATTCTGATGGCAAATTCATTATCACCAATCTGAGTTGATTAAAAAAAAATACCACTTAACTAGTTTTCTGACAACTCAAATCACCTTTTTGCTGTATGCCACATTTAACCGTTAACAGCACATTAAAACTCTGATATAGAGGCACAGGAGCAATTTGGGTTTCGGCTTCTTGCCCAAAGACACTTTGGCAAGTGATTGCAAGAACCAACCAACAGTAGACAATAGAGAGATAAGAGGACATGAGAGATGCAATTTTACAGTATATTGCTTTCAAGACCATAAGGAAACAGAATTGTCATTAGGTAAAGACGATCAAGTTATTGTTTCTTGAATGGTTCCTGCCTTTTTGGCATGGGACCTGGATTGAGCTGATTGAAATGCTTTGTTGATTGTACATAGCTTGAACAATCCCTGTTATCATAATCACCTGATATGAACTCTAACGTCAACCTACATGAATGTTATGCTTTTCCTGTCACTTATGTTTTGAAGCCTTTCTTCATCTGTCTTGTGGAAATATTTAGGGATGTAGTGAACCAAAGAAAAAACTTTGTCTGTCTACTGAACTAACACCCAAGCATCAACCAATTGTTGGTGAACCTAATCAGTGACAGTGTAGACACTGCACCATGGCTGGTAGTCTTAATGAACTTAAAATGAACATAACAAGCTTTCATAATAAATTATGCAACAATGATAAACAAAACAAAAACTTGTGCATGTCTTCAGATCATTTCCACATATGTGGATGAAGTGTTGAGTTGATGATAGCCCCAGACTGATTTAAACCCTGATTATGTTCATAACAGCAATGTCAAAGTAATACTTACAGACATAAATGCACAGTATGTAAATTCCACCACCAGGGGGCTCTCAATCAAAAAAATAACAAGAGATGATGTCGAGGCTGGGGCGAATCATGGGAGTGATTCTCTCTTCCACTCCCATGAAAACAAACTCCAAGTTGACCGTAAGACAAACGGGCGAAACCGTCCCGAGGAAGAGAATATTTTTACAGACGATGTATCCAAGTTTAATTTACATGACGTTGTTTCTCAGCAGCACATAAAGCAACAGTACGGCAGTATATTATGTTATTAAGTATCAGCTCACACTTCCTTATGCAGCAGTCTTTGACCTAACATCCGGTGTTCCCACGGCAACGATAAACATGTCTTCTCTGTCATGGTGCCGGCCATGACAAGACACGTCCCATTATAACTAAAAAATTAAGGTTTCTACGGATTAAAAGTTGAAAACATAAAAGTTTAAATATTTGAGGTAATGTAAGTACTCAACAAGAAAAAAAATATAACATAAGTTTAGTCCATTTGATATTAATTTAGATATTTTAGTGTACAAATTTCTAAATGTTGTACTGATACTTTATTTTTAAAGTCATACATTGGTGGATTGTTTTCCTAATCACTTGAAAGTTTGTGCATGACATGATCGCTTACAGGTACTGCAGCTCAGCTACCACATAGTCTCATTATTGACACTGTACAGCATTTATAGCTTAACGTGTTGTTGGCCTTGCCATGCTTTGTCTACAAATGGTATGCTATCACCCGCTCCAAAAAGGATTTTCCATTGACAGTAGTTTTGACAATTTAACAGACTTTACCCATCCCACTTGGGTCTGCAAGAGTTGAAACTACAATATTTGACTAGAAAAATCAAAAAAGCAATAACATTGTTTTGTATATCCATCTCATTTTGATCATTCACTTTTATGTTGTGACACATTTGGTTGGAGACTTTAACAAAGAGGCTCCTAATTTGGGAACCATTGCTCTAACCCTTTGAAGGTTGGAGCCAGGTTTCTGTTTTCCTCTGCACAGTCAAGAAGTCTCATTGAGTAGGAACCCAAACCATTACCTGGAGGTAGGAAACCATAAAAAAACTTGCGAAAAAAGGCAAGGTGCTTAACCCTTCTTTACTTTTAAACTGAAGGGAAAGTGACTGTCTGGTCAGGACACGAAAGGTCAGATTTGAATTGTAATGCATCATTCATTTCCCCCTTTGGTCATTCTTGGCTGGCTTTATAGGTTAAAGAGGGTGTTATGGCTTTGTGGTTTACCATAAAAGACCTTTGTTTAACTAACTGACAAATCTCTGCGCTGCCACTAAGTTGTGCTGAATAAATCATTGCACGCTCCCATGGAGATGTTTGTCTGGGAGCTGGATTGGGATTGGAGGGGGAGGTTAGAGCACAGAGGCAAGCAGGCAGCCTAGGCTCGAATCGTGGTCCGTGCAGATTCCCGCTGTGGGCAGATAAGCCATGAAAAGAAATATTCCAGTGATTGCACATCGCTGTGTAAACCATCACCTTGCTCCAAGAGCCGGAACAGACACCTCCGAACACGGACAAGGAGATGAGGCCCAAGCACAAAAGGAATTGATTTGAAATACAGTTCAGTCAGGATAGTGTCTCTTTAAGTCACTGTCAGTGCTTGTTTGACAAGACCGCAGTGATGAGTTTCACCCTTTGCCCCTCACCACTGCCGGCAAGACAATGAACAAGTCTGCAGCGAGTGATCTAGACTCCTGTCTGATTGCATATTTTGCCAAGATTTTGTGACAGAGAAAATGACTTTGAACAATTTATTGGATCGCAGAAACATTGTTCATGGAAGAAAACAGATTTTCTTCACTTCAGGGTTGAAAAAAAAGCAACAGAAGGCCACTTTCTTCTCATTTTATAAGATAAGAAATACTAATGTGAATTAAAGTTATCTTGCAAAGAGCTAAATAAGAGATTCTCATTTCTTAACCAAGCAAACAATTTATTTTTGTGAAGCCTTGGCTTCACCACCATCAGTCCAAAATGCCCCTTCAAAAAGAAAAGGCTTTTTTCTTCTGTGTACTGTGTTTTCTGTTGAATCACAGGAGATGAGCTTGCTAAAAATAATCTACAATACAGCCTCTTTCCCTCCATCATCTCAGGGC